TTCCCCACCTGGTGAAAGAATTAGACTTACAAGTCCAGGAAGCGCACAGAACTCCAAACAAAAGGAATCCAAAGAGGACCACACCAAGACAAATCATAATTAAGATTCCAAGAGCAAAAGACAAAGAGAGAATATTAAAAGCAGCAAGAGCAAAGAAGGTAGTTACCTATAAAGGGGCACCTATACGACTGTCAGCTGATTTCTCAACAGAAACCATGCAGGCCAGACGGGAATGGCAAGAAATATTCAAGGTGATGAATAGCAAGAACCTACAGGCAAAGATAATCTATCCAGCAAAGCTATCACTCAGATTCGAAGGTCAGATAAAGAGCTTCACTAATAAAAAAAAGCTAAAGGAGTTCATCACCACCAAACCAGAATTATATGAATTGCTGAAGGGGGTTCTTTCAGAAGAGAAAGTAAATAAAGATAAAAATTATGAACAACAAATACATAACTATCAACAAGTGAATCTAAAAACCAAGGAAACTAAAAAAAAAATCTGAGGAACAATATTAACTGTTGAATATAATAGAATCAGAGGTATGGAAGGGGAGTGAACTGTTTATTCTTGGGGAAAAGGGGAGAGGGGGATGTGGGAAGAGACCGAACATAAACTGTGCACCTATGGATGAGGACAATGGGGGGTGGGGAAAGGGCAGAGGGTGAGGTGAGAAGGGGGGGGGAAAGGAACATTTGTAATAATATGAACAATAAAAATTTATTTAAAAAAATAAATAAATAAAATAAAATCTTCCCCTGAGGAAAAAAAATTAAAATTAAAATTAAAAAAATTGTTTAAAAAAAAAAAAAAGAATCCAGCCGAGCCGAAACAGGTTTGGCTCAGTGGATAGAGCATTGGCCTGCAGACTGAAGGGTCCCGGTCAAGGGCATGTACCCTGGTTGTGGGCATATCCCCAGTGAGGGGTATGCAGGAGGCAGCTGATCAATGACTCTCTCTCATCAATATTTCTAACTCTATCTCTCACCCTTCTTCTCTGTAAAAAATCAATAAAATATATTTTTAAAAAAAGAATCCAGCCGAAACCAGTTTGGCTCAGTGGATAGAGCGTCAGCCTGCGGACTGAAAGGTTTGATTCCAGTCAAGGGCATGTACCTTGGTTGTGGGCACATCCTCAGTAGGAGGTATGCAGGAGGCAGCTGATCAATGTCTCTCTCTCTCATCGATGTTTCTAGTTCTCTATCCTTTTCCCTTCCTCTCTGTAAAAAATCAATAAAATATATATATTTTTTTAAAAAGAATCCAAAGATCCATTTTATATCCATTCAATTGACAAAAAAATAAATAAAATTAAAAGTCTGGCCTCTCAGCATAACCATTATGGCTTATCTCAGTTTCGGTTCTTACAAGGGTATTTCTTGTATCACATGATCTCACACATCTAGAGGAAATAATGAACAACATAAACTGATGAACAAAAATAGACCCAGAGAAAGAGAAGCAGCAATCAGGCTCTCAAAGCTCAGAGGGAAAGTAGGGGAGGGTGAGGGTAAGGGGGAGAGATCAACCAAAGGACTTGTGTGTGTGCATATGGGCCTAGCCAGTGGCCATGGACAACAGGGGGGTGGGGGCATATGTGGGGAGGGGTTTGGGATGGAAATGGGGGGATGAGGACAATTATGTGATACCATAATCAATAAAATAAAATAAAATAAAATTAAATTAAATTTAATTTAATTTAATTTAAAAAGTCTGCCTTTATGAAGTGTTGGTAAAAATGTGGAGCAATTGGAAGTCCTGTACCCGGTAGCTGGCAGTATGTAACTGGTATAACCACTTCAGAAAACAGTCAGGCAATTATCAACAAAAGTCGAATATTTATTTACCTGATGACCCAGCAAAACATCACCCCTAAGTTTATACCCACGAAAACCTCCTGCACATGTTCAGCAGGAGATGTGAATGTGGCAATGTTCAGAGCAGCACTCTTGCAACAGCTAACACCTGGAAACAACTAAGTGTCTGTCCATCAGTGAAGATCAGGTGATAAACTGTGGTGTACTTCCACCATAGAATATTAGTAGTAAAAACAAATGAACCAAATGACATAAAACAATATGGAGACAAATCTTAGCAAAATCATATTATGTTACTTTCCTCTGACATATATAGGTACAATAAAACTGTATTAAAATGAAAGCAAGGGGGTAGTGATTATCTGAGGATGAAAATGGAAAGATTGCATGCATAATTATGTGATACCATAATCAATAAAAAAAAAAAAAGTAAGATTGCATGCTTAGACATATACTTTTTGTTTCAAGCCCTAAGCTTTTGTTTTGAGTGGTTGGAATACAGATGCTTACTACAATCGTTAAAAATAACTTAGTAAATAAATAAAAACAAGTCTGAGGTAAAAATTAAAACAAACACAGAAAAGAGACCATTTAATTTATCTTTGTACTCCAAGTACCCAGTGCAAGCCCTGGCCTACAATTTCTGCAGGCATGTGTAGAATGAATCAGGGACTTTTCTCCCTAGCCCAGTGATCAGAGCCAAATATCAACAGTACAATGATTAAAATTACTTTTGAGAGCCAAATCTTTTAAACTTAAACTTCTTCTAATGCCACTTCTTCAAAATAAACTCGCCCAGGCCGTGGTATTTTTGTGGAAGAGCCACACTCAAGGGGCCAAAGAGCTGCATGTGGCTCGCGAACCGCAGTGTGCACGGCCCTAGCCTACCATCCCCTTCCTGTTGGCACCTTGGGTACTTTCAACATGTCTAAAGCCAAATTCACCTTCCTTCTTCCCAATTCTGCTTTCCTCCTAGATTCTCTGGCTCGCTTCACTCTGACCCAGGCAGTTAGAAGAAAAACCTGGAAATCTTGCTCCTCCTCAACCTTCTCTCCCACTGCCCCGCAGCTGCCATGGCTTGCTCTCTCCTCCTTCCTCAACTCCCCAGAGCCCTCTGGTTGGAACTTCTATGCCTCTCACTGTGATAAATATTCTTTCCCACTGGCTTTCCCCAACTCTTTTTAAAAATATATATATATTTTATTGATTTTGTACAGAGAGGAAGGGAGAGAGAGAGTTAGAAACATCAATGAGAGAGAGTCATCGATCAGCTGCCTCTTGCACACCCCCTACTGGGGATATGCCCGCAACCAAGGTACATGCCCTCGACTGGAATCGAACCCAGGACCTTTTAGTCCCCAAGCCGACGCTCTATCCATTGAGCCAAACCGGTTTCGGCTTTCCCCAACTCTTATCTCTCCTCCTAGTCCACCTCAGAGACAGATGCAAGATTGTGCTTCCTGAAATATAGTTCTGATCCTGTTTCTTCCACATGTCCACTGCATTTCTGAAATAAAGTTCAAGCTCCTTGGGTTGACACTGAAGCTCATCACAATCTGGTCCCTCCCTATCAACCCTATTTGCCAGTGCACCTCCCTTCAATACGCTCTTTCATCTATACCTCCCTCTACCCAACACCTCCCAGAGATTTTAAGTGGTGATCTGCTACCACATATATATCCCATTTCCCCACCTCTATGTCTCAGTTAAACACAGAATCCCATTCACCTGGTCACTCACCCTCACCTGACTCATATTTTCAAGGCCCATTTAAATAGTACCTTCTGTCCTAGCTGGTATGGCTCAGTGGATAGATAGTCGGCCTGCAGACTGAAGGGTGCTGGGTTTGATTCCAATCAAGGGCACATGCCCGGGTTGCGAGATCGATTCCCCAGTATGGGGTGTACGGGAGGCAGCTGATCAATGACTCATCATTGATGTGTCTATCTCTCTCTCCCTCTCCTTCCTCTCTGAAATCAATAAAATATATATATATTAATATATTTTATTGATTTTTTTACAGAGAGGAAGGGAGAGGGAGAGAGAGCTAGAAACATCAATAAGAGAGAAATATCGACCAGCTGCCTCCTGCACACCCCCCACCTGGAATGTGCCCGCAACCAAGGCACATGACCTTGACTGGAATCGAACTTGGGACCCCTCAGTCCGCAGACCGACGCTCTATCCACTGAGCCAAACGGTTTGGGCAATAAAAATATATTTAAATAAATAAATAAATAGCACCTCCATGATGCCTTGGTGTGCCCAAATGAAAGAAAATACCCTTTTATCAACTTGCACAGCATTCTGTCTGTCCTCCAGAGTTCTCTATGCTCATCATCAAGCTGAGGGCAAAAATCTCCCTTTCAATAATCCAATCAAATCCACACTTCCCGGCGAGTGTGTAAACTTTAAATGTTCCCCCTCCCCAATTGGAATTCTTCCCCTAAAATCCTTCTGCTCCCTAGAGCCTTGGCATGGCTCACCAAACCCTCCACACTCGGACCTCTGCCCACCTATCCAGCACCCTCTATCCCACACCGCCCTTTGTTGCTCTAGCCACTGAGCTACTCACAGTGGTCCAGACATGCCAGGTAGCTTCCCGGCTTTGCCCACTCCTCTGCCAGGCTACTGCCCCCACTTTCTAAATCCTCCTCCTTCACAATCCACCTTGCTGTCATCTTCCTTCCTACCCCCTTCCTGGAGTGATGTTAGTTCGGTCCTGTGAGTTACGCCTATCACACTGACAAAACCTGTCACTGTTTATGCCTTGTCTGTCTTTTCTAACCAATAAAACAAGATCCAGAAGACAGAGCTCTTGTTACTCCTCACAGTATCCCCGGCACTGAGCATGGGACTTGACACAAAGGAGGCACCCAGTCAAGATGCATGCAAAAGAAATAAAAATGTCCAGTTCAAATGCAGAAATCATGGCTTATGTCCTTCATCCCATAAAGCATGTCTTAAAGTGCAATCCATGTAGAAAGCACCCTCTGAGACTGGTTAAACAGGAGAAGTCATTGGCAAGAAGCCACTTGAATTTCTTTGAGAGAGCAATGGCAATCTAGTCCCTGGGCTCACTTTCATCCTGGAGATCTCAAATTCTACCCTCCCCAGTCCTCACCTTTTCTATTGAAAACCAGATAAAGAAGGCAGCAATGTAAAGTCCCCATGGCTCTCACCTTTTCTCTCTGGAGAGCTGGCACAAACAGTCCCTTCTTGGTGGCGACACCAGATCCTTAGGAGGAATGACTTGTTCGAGTTCCCATCTTGATATAAAACGCAAACAACAAAACCCAGGCAAATCTGAAAGGCTTGCTGACTCAGCAACACAAATTTCAAGACACCTTTGCCAACAAGGAAGAAGATGATCAGGTTTTAAATTGAGAAACAGCAGTTAGTGAAAATGAATGCGCAGATGTTGGGTCCCTGTGACTGGGAACTGGAAACCACCAGATTTATTTTCCAAAACCCTAGGCAGAGCAGACGGTACAGTAGTTTTCCTCTGCCCACTCAAATAATTAAAGGAATGGTAAAATAATAATAACAACAACAATAATAATAATAATCCGAGCCCTTTCATTGAAAAGCCCAAAAGGACTTTATAAGCCAGTCTGCTGTGTACGCATCAAGGAAATCAGCGCACCCGAGAGGGTTCAAGTTTAGCCAAAGTCACAAAGCAATAGGCCTGGTTAGAGTTACGCTGATGGCTTAAGTTAAAGCCTAATTTTGGCCACCAGAAAGTCTACCTTCTAGAACTCTAGAGGAGCTGGGACAGCATGCAGAAATATTTTGAGTTTCTTCTTAAGGGTCCAAGCGACTGTGCACACACTATTTCCACTGCTACGGGCACTTGGGGAAGTGGAACCAGTAGCTGGCTGCGAAAGGCGGGATGGAAGGGTAGCTCCAGAAAAAAAACCTTCTAAATCCTCTGCAGCATGCATTACGAGCCCCGCAAAAGTAATCCAGGGTCTCTGGAGACAAGAGCTTTCCGGAAGGCGGACCGGACCCCACTCGGGACAGGAAAGCAGAGTTAGGAAGCATCGTCCTCTCTGAATTACAGTCCCCCCTCCAGTGAGTCCTTCACGAGGAGGCAGACCCCAGCAGAAACCACACCCTAACCCGGAGCCCGGCGGCAGCACCGCCCCGCTTCCTCCAGGTCCTGGGGGACGAGGTTCACTCCCACCGACCGACTCCAACTCCCAGGGTCTGCGCCCCTCCACCTGCTAAGCAGCCCTCTGGCTCCCACCCCGGCGTTCACCCTCCCACCCAGCACCCAGGCTAAGCTCCCAGCGCCTCCCAGTTCCCCAACTCTCACCTCAGAGACCTCCAGCCCAGAGACCAGTCCTCCCAGTGCCCCCTTGACCTCGTCCCGGGACGCCCCTCCGGCCGGCCCAGCCCCCCTTTCACTTCCACACCCGCCCCCTTCCGGTCCCAGCACAGTTTGGTCTCCCCCACGCCCTCGGGACCCCAGCCCTGGCGGCCAGCGGCTGGCCTGACCGCCCCCTCTCACCGAGGCTGAGGAGGGCGAGGAGGCAGGAGGGGGTCCCCGCTACCCTCGGGCCTGGGCACAACTCCGCCTGAGGCTCCGACTCTCCGGAGACAGCCAGAGTGAAACTCCGCGTCGCAGCTTCCTTGCGCTCCGGTGCGCATGCCCAGGGCGCGGGGGCTTCTGGGTTATGTAGTTCAGTGGGATGGGGGCGGGGCGCGGGGCGGAGGCGGGGCGGAGGCGGGGCAGACCTGTTTAGCTGTATCCTTTCTCCTTAGCCTGTTTGCTCATGACTTGCTCCTTCATTAATTTATTGATTATTTTATATCTTTTTTTTGCATGCTTTTTACCGGTATATACATGGATTCAAGGCCTGTGCTGGGTACTGGGGATTAACATGTCCATTGGAAACTTGGTTTCTCTCCTGGAAGAACTTCGGACCTACTAGTAGTTGCGGAAATAGACACAATCACACAATTACAATATGGTGGGATAAATATTATGATAAAGGAGTGGTAGCATAGAAGGGTATCCCTAATTTGGAAGTTGGGTCAGGAAGACATCACAGAGGGGTGACGCTTGAGTTGGATTTCCAAACCCACATAGGGGTTTGCCTGATGGAATGCAGGGAACCCCATGCAAAAGAAGAGAGATGTGACAATGCCTGATGCACTCAGCAAGCAGTGAAATGTTCCTTGTGGCCAGGACAGAGGATTCATGAAGAGGATGAGGACAGAGAAAATAGGTTAGGTTTGACAGGATATGGGTATGGGGAGAAGGCTGGGTAAGATTATAATGGTCTTTAAAGGGCATGCAAGGATTTTAGGCAACTGGAGCCAATGGAAGGATTTTCAGCACGGGAATGACAGTCAACGTTCACTTTAGAAAGATATCCTGTGTGGTGGGTGAGGATAGATTATAGTTTGAGAAAATAGGACTAGTTTGGAGACTGTTGCTCTAGTCCAGGTTGAAAGTGATGAGGCCTAAATAAGGCTGGTAGGCTGGTGACTAATCTTTTGAGATCACAGAGCTGTTTTCCAAAGCCATTGCCAGAAAAATGCTAAGTGTCAGTTTTCACACATGTATACATACACATTACACACATATTTTGCATATAGTTTCAGGGGTACAGAGTCCCCTGCTCTTAAACTCTAGTTAAGTATTTTTACATAATCTAATGTCACTCATACTTTATCAGGGATTTGAGGAAGACTCAGACTGCTGGAGATAGAGGAAAAGACATCCCCAATCATTCAGTTTAAAAACTTCATTTTATAGAAGAGGAAGCTGAGGCCTGGAACGGGGGAGTAACCACCCAAAGTTAGTGAGGGAGGAGAAGGAGGGCCTGCAGTAGGCCAAGTCTCTGGTACCCGGGCTCTACCACCCACCTGGGAGCTGACTTAAAGGACACAGGCCTAGAGTCTGGGGGATACCAAAGTCAGGTTCTCCCAATTACTTTCAGAACCAGAAATCCATTCAGAAATGAAGGGTAGCATTTTACCTATGATTTACACCAGATGACTTTGATGGCTACAGTTTAGGATGGGAACATTTCCCTTCCCCACTCAGTCTCCATTTTCTCAGCTGTTACCACCTACAACATTTCTAAAGCACCTAGCATGTGCCAAGCACTTGAAAGATGTCACCTCCCTGAATCCTCTCAATGAGGTAGGTGCTATTGTTTTCTCCATTTTATTTTATTTTATTTTATTTTAAAATATATTTTATTGATTTTTTCAGAGAGGAAAAGAGAGGGATAGAGAGTTAGAAACATCAATGAGAGAGAATCATCGATCAGCTGCCTCTTGCACACCCCCTACTGGGGATGTGCCTGCAACCCAGGTACATGCCCTTGATTGGAATCGAACCCGGGACCTTTCAGTCCGCAGGCCAATGCTCTATCCACTGAGTCAAACCGGTTTCAGCTGTTTTCTCCATTTTAAAGATGAGAACTTTGAAGCACAGAGCTTAAACAATGTGTCTAAGGTCACCAGTTGGCAACTGGCAGAGCTCATCTTTATTTATTTTTTTTAAATATTTTTATTGATTTCAGAGAGGAAGGGAGAGGTAGAGAGGGATAGAAACATCAATGATGAGAGAGAATCACTGATAGGCTGCCTCCTGCACAATCCCACAAATAGAGATTGAGCCTGTAATCTGGGCATATACCCTGATGGGAAATCGGGAAATTGAACCATGCCCTCCTGGTTTGTAGGTTGACACTCAACCACTGAGCCACGTTGGCAAGTGCTTCCATTTCCCGTAGTGAAATGCTGAAGTGGTAGTTATTGATGAAAACCCCACTATAGCACTGGCTGGTTTGGCTCAGTGGTTAAAGTGTTGGCTATGGACCCTAAAGGTCACAGGTTCAATTCTGGTTAAGGGCATGTCCCTCGGTTGTAAGTTCCCTCTCACGTTGCTGTTTTTCCTCTCACTCCTCCTCCTCCCACCCTTCCATCTCTCTCTAGAAATCAATGGAAAAAATATTCTCGGGTAAGGATTAAATAAATAAACTGCCTATATTATTATTTTTTAAATACCCACTGCATACATACCTCGGGACTCCAATATCCAATAGAATGGAGGTGCAGGGGTCCTCAAACTTTTTAAAGTGGGGGCCAGATCACGGTCCCTCAGAGAGCTGGAGGGCCGGACTATATGAACTACTAATTCCTACTGTATCACCTCGGCTGCACTCACTGCCCAAAAAACCTGGCGGGCCGGATCAGACTCCTCTGCGGGCTGCATGTGGCCCGCGAGCCGTAGTTTGAAGACGCCTGATGGAGGGAGTAGACTAGAAAGGTTCTGGAACCAAAGCTCTGAAGAGACGAAGAGGTGGAGCTCTGGGGGAGGTTTGCTGAGCCTGCCAAGGTTAGGGATAAGGTGGGTTCCAGGGGAGGCCAAGATAGAGAAGCTCCACAGAGGTAGGAAGGACACTGCCTGGAAGACTGGGTTGCATGGAGAGAACCCTAGGAAAGGGGGAAGTCAACAAATTGAGTGATTAAGGGGAGAGGGAAGCACTGCCAGGTGTGAGGCTCTGGAGAGATCTGGGGTATAGATAGGGATTTGGGAGTCACTGGCAATGACATTTCCAGAACAGCTGGAAAGACCACAGATGAGAAAAAGTGAGTCCAGGGTTGAGGAACACTGGCCTTCCAAGAACAGGTGAGAGGTAGAAGTGTCTGGAAAGAAGGCTGGACTGGGGGCACTGGATGAGCGGGATGGCAGAGAACCCATGAAGTCGTGGTCAGTGGTAACAGGTACTCCTGGGAAGCCTAACGGGCTAGTCTCCTAGGAGGACAGCCTATCTCTGGGGTTAGGGGCTCCTGCCTCCCAGCTTTGGGCTCTTTTAGCTTTCAGTCTGCCAGCTGACTTCAAGAAAGGTTCCAAACTTCTGACCTTACTACATGGAGGCCTTTGGTGACCACACTGTTTCCATTGACAGGTAGGAGCTGGAGCAGATATACCTGTGGTCATGAAGGTCAGGAATGCAATCTAGGAATAGACAGCTCTTTCAAGAACAATCTTTGTGTTCCACACACTATGGGGTAAGGTGGAGGGGGCAGCAGAGGGTAAACTCACTTGTGTGTAATGATGCCACTTACATAAGGTTGCTCATGGCTATGTGTGCCTAGAAGGATACCATCCAACACAGTAACATCCAAGGGGCAGGATAGCGGGTGAATTTCACTTTCTTTGTACTATTCCTGTTTCATTTGAGTGTATCCCAATGAATAGTTTCCATTTTTATAACCTGAAAAGAAAAACTATATTTGGGGGGAAATAATGAGTTCTGATCATGAAAAGAAGCAAAATAGGACAGCAGCAAGAGGGAATATGGGGAGAATGGACTTCTACTTTTTAGACAGGAGAGAATGATGTGCTTTGTTCTGTGGCTGCAGCAGGATGGCCCCCAGGAAGCTGAAAATGAGGAAAAAAGGATTGGCCACCTGCAAATGGAACTTTAAACCAATACAAATGGCCAAGGGTCAGAATCACCTGCACAGCAGAAGGAGGCTGGTTCAATAACCCTGGAATGCTAGGCAGAAAGACTGAGGAAGGGCTCACAAGTCTATTGTTAAGTAAAAAGGGTAAGAAAGGTGAAAAAAGGAACTTTCAGAGCAGAGTGTAAAGTAGAACATGTACCTGTTTGTGTGGGGGCTAGGGTTGGGGTGTGTTGTTTTGTTTTGAATGCACCAACAGGCTTGTAGGCATAGAAAATTTCCCGGAGGAAACTTAAGATGCTCCAAGACAGGGAATGAGCTAAGATTTTTATTTACTATTTTTTTTTCTATTAGAAAAATGTGAGAATGCACGCGTGTACACACACACACACACACACACACACACACACACGCACACACGCACACGCAGTGGATTAGGTCTGCCTTGCACACAGGCATGAAGCCTAGGGGTAAGTGGGAGCTGAAACCTTCCTGGCTAGGGCTCTTTGTCCTAAATCACAGCGATAAATCTGTGTTTTCAGATGGTGTTAGGCGACCCTGCTGCTGCTGCAGAGCCTAAGACCATCGGAAAACACAGATATTTACATTACGATTCATTAACAGTAGCAAAATTACAGTTATGAAGTAGCAACCAAAATAATGTTATGGTTGGGGGTCACCACATGAGAAACTGTATTAAAGGGTCGCGGCATTAGGAAGGTTGAGAACCACTGTCCTAAATCATCTGCCCAGGGAGGCAGCTTTTTTAATGTCTCAAAGGCTGGAGTTAGTGTAGCCTTCAGGCCTTCCCAAGCAGCTGAGAATGAATGGCCCAAGATGGAATTAGCTATGGAATGGGGAGTGGTGGCTGCGAGAAACCAAGAGAAACTTAAGTTTTATTTTATTTTTTAAGTTCTTAAACCTTACTCCAGGTGTCAGGGTTTACTGCTTTGAAAGGCTCCAATCCTGGAACCAGCCCCCAGCTCTCCCTGGAGCAAGAACAGATCAAAGTAAACCCAGGCCTCGGTTAATGGGCTTGAGCACTTTCTGATACTTTGCTTGCGAAGGCAGAAATTTGTTGCTCAGTCAGTGCCTCATGCTCACTGGCCTCCATCCAACACTCTGGAGGGAGTGTCTGTTTAGAAGCCACAACTGCTTTGCTATTATTTCTATTTAATAACACCTGGCAGCTCTGGGTCATGGTGCCCACTCAG